ATCTACAAGGCCTCTTACCAGATCCCAGCAGCCCCCAGGGGCAGGAGGAATGTCAAGAATGTAAACGCCTTCCCAGGTGCTGGCCCCAACAGGTGAGGCGAGGTCAGTGCCACAGATCTGCTGTAGAGGGGACGCCTGTCCCATGGTTACCAGACAGTTGTTTCCATCCACAGGGACAACGATGACAATAGTTGGCCCTACCAACTGCCCAGGGGACATTTAGCACATTCCAGGAGCCCGGTAGACCTTTAGGTCTACCGTACCGAGTTGGTATTTCACAAGAAGGAAACTTCAGTGGAGAGCTTAACACCTCCAACCAAGGTTGAAAAACTAAAACCAGGAACTCTGCAACCATTCCAAAATTCTGGAGAACACTTTGAACTGCGAACCAGAAAGACGTAGCCCTACTTCGGCAACATTGGTAGCTACTTAACACAGTAAGTACCGGGTTACACTGAGAAAGGGTATAGCCATGTCACCACCCCAGGACTCAGTTTCCATACCTGTAAAACGAGAGCTAATCTCCTGTCTAAGGTGTACGGTTAGGTGACCCAGCACCTGTCCTGAGCCTCCTCGGGTAGGGTGAGCTCAGGGCAGGTGTCCCCTGACGAGGCCACAGGGCGCGAGGGAGGGGCTTGTCACAGCCAGCCTTCCCCAGTGAGTCAGGGAGGTGGAGAGGGAAAGACTTCCCCAGCTGCACTTACCACATCGGCCCTGCCCACACACTGCTAACCAGCACGGTGCCCAGGTCAGAAGTCACCTGAAATGCAGCCGAGTAAGCAGGGCATCCGGGACGGAACTGCCCCTTCCCCTCCTCTCTCCTGGAGCGGGACTCTGTTTCTGGCAGAAATTAGTAACTAAATTCTTCCTCTTCTTGGTCCACAATAAAAGCAGGGTGCCAAAAGAATCCTGAAGTCCTCTGCAGAGGAGGAAGAGAACCTGGAAGTCATGGGGGGTGGGGGGTCTCTGCAGAGTCTCGAGGCCACTCGAGGCCACTCAGAAGTCCCCTCTCACTCTTCCAGAGCGTCTGCAAAGTGAAACTTCAACAGTCTTTCTCTCAGTGAACTTGACACCTGCCAGTCAGCCAGGCCAGCCTGGGCAGCTCTTCCCAGGGTGTACACAGCCAATCTGAGTCCCTCCCTTAGCCTGGCCTCTTTCTGGAGGTGAGGAACACAGGAAAGAGGCCAGGGGCCGAGCATTTGGGTCAAGTGCACAGCTGAGCAGAGCCCTGGGCGGAGTGCTCCAACAAGGTGCTAGCCCAGGTCTGGGTGCCCTGACTCCAGGGCTGCAGATCTGATGGTCTCTATCTGCCCTGATATACTCAGGTCTGTGACCAGCCTATCTGTAATGAGAGGGATCTGGGCCAGCCAGTTCTGGGGAAGTGTAGTCTCAAAGATGAGAACCACACCTGTAATCCTAGCCTTAGGGGGGCCGAGAAGAAGACTACGGGTTTGTGACCAGCCTGGGCTACACGGCAAGACCCTGTCTCAAAAAGAGATAACACAAAATTGCCAGGTATAGTGGTACACATTTTTAGTCCCAGCAGAGGCAGATGGATCTCTATGAGTCTGAGGCCAGCCTGGTCTTCATGGTAAGTTCTAGGCTACCCAGGGCTACCCAGTGAGATCCTATCTCAAAAACAAAGCAGGCAGATGATCTACTTCAGTGGGGAAAGTTCATATGGCTTATATTTGATCCCAAGACCAGAAAAACAAAAACAAAAAACAAAACAACACCAACACAACAAAAAACCAGCCATTCAGCTGAACAAGGTTGAGAACAGATCTCAAAAAAGAATATTAAGAAGCCAGGTACCCACCCTTCGAAGTATACCTCAATATGAA